TCCCCCCCCCCCCCCACCCCGAAAAAACCCTCCAACAAAACAATAATAACATCAACTGCAACAGCAACAGTAGTTGAGTAGCAGCAAAAACAACAAAAACAACAACAACAACAACAACAGCAGCAAGGACAAAAAGAACGACAACAACAACAACAATAAAAAAAAACCCAACAACAACAGCAACAGCCAATTACAATCCGTTTAAGGTTGTCAGATATTTAAATTTGAGTATCTCCAAATAATCCACTAAAATATGAATTGTCAAATCAATATATAAAAACCTGCTAAACTATCTTTAAAAAAACCCGGATTAAATTAACGTTTCTGCTTACCTGTGCAAGATGGAACGGAACCGAAACGCCATTTTCTGGTTTATGGAAGTGTTTTGGTGAATTCCCAAAAATTAACTTTATTTTTTCCTACGGGACCAAGATGAACAGTGAATGTTGCCTTATCTCATGGTAGTCAAGCACGGCTCAGAATAAATCAATGTAATAAAATGTCAACAGTTTTCTGTTTCATACTCATAGATTTTATCCAAATACGAACGATTCTGCACAATCACTTGGCTCTTTTTTGGTAGAATTTCGATTCAAAGAGAATATCCTGAGGAATTATATTTCCTTTATTCCAAAGAAACTGAATTAACTCTCGTATGTCCAAGCACTTGGGCGAATTTAGGAACTGTCCACCTTTTCTATTGTTGAGATTTCTGGCAGTGTTTTAGCGAGATGGGTGCAAAATAAGGAAAGTATTATCTGTCTGATAGAGCAGACCAATCGAAATAAAGTTTTTGGTACAATCACCAAAATATGTTTCGCATAATAATATATATTATTTTCCAGTGAACGCCAGAAATAATATTCTTGTTAACAATAATTCTACCCTACACGTGCCAAGTCACACTTTCACTTTGCAGTTACCCCCAATTATTCCGAAACTCTGGAGAAACTCAGAACTTTTCACAGAGCAATACTGCTTTGACAGAAAAAAATTGGTTCCGCCGTTATAGCATCACACATTACCAGATGTTCCTTACACATTACCAGATGTCTACACTGGTCTACAATCGTTCTATAAATGACCCCACACAACGATCGCAGCAAGAGTAAAAATACAAGAATCACAGCTTGGGTATCGTGACACGAGCGTTATTATTTTATCCACCAGCCGGAGCTATTGTTCTGTCCCCCCTACACTTCCAGAAGCCGTGTCCCCTGTGCTCCTAATGTTACATCAACTGTCGTCTATACTGTAGGGTCCAGACTTGATCTCACCAGGGTGGGTGGATTAGGCGGTGGAACTGCCCGGCACGGCCAAAAAACAGAATAGATCCTTGCGTCCATGCTTAACGTCGTGTTGTTCTTATTGGCTTGTCCGTCCACAACGAGTTAGGTCAAGCATGCACGGCAAGTTATTGCAGATTACAGACGACAGAGTTTAAATTCTTCTTCTTCTTCTTCTTCTTCTTCTTCTTCTTCTTCTTCTTCTTCTTCTTTTTCTTCTTCTTCTTCTTCTTCTTTTACTTCTTAGCGTTTCTACGTTGCTTCTCAGACCGTCTATCAGTAAACCACAATCTCTTGCCTTTCTGCCTGGCTTTGCAAGGTGAGAGAAATAATAACAATCCCTGGGGAACAATTCTGCTATGAGGACAAAACACGAGCCTTTTGCTTTCTTTGTTCAGATCTTCCTTTCTCCCCCGAGTGTGCAGTCTCAGGTGTGCTGCCATTTACCTGTCCTACAATCCAATTCATACAGAGGAAGCCGAGAAAATAAAAATTCATAAGTTTTCTCATGCAGTGTGAAATCAGAAATGGAGCTTCCTACTGTGTTACATTCGGATGTGCTATTTTTGCATAATTTGAACTTGCAGAGCAAAATCGTGCACTAACATTTCCTATTGTAACAATAATTGTATATTTAAACTTTTTATGTGAAACTCTCTGTGTGACATTTGAACTTGCTACGTGATATTTTTATTTCTCATATTTTCATTTGATTTGAAAAACTATATTTAGAGAACGGTAGCGAAACAAACCCCAGGAAGTCTGTATTCTACAAAGCGAAGTAATATGCTTCAAGTATACACGTATAACAAAGAAAGTGTTGGATTGGAATCCACAGGGTAAGAGATCAAGGGGAAGACCGCGTTGAACCTGGAGGAGAATTACAGAAATCGTTGTACAGAAAAGTGGGAAAACATGGAATAACATCACGATGCTAGCCCAAGATAGAGAAAGATGGAAAGTGTTTATCGTGGTCTATACCCTGGTGAAGGGTAGAAAGGCAATGATGATGATGATGAACTGTACGTATTGTTCAGTTATAAGAATTTGTAATGTAGACGTTGTAGCAGCAGACAGCATTATTTGGAGGAAAATCTGTCTTGAATAGAGGTGACTCCAGTAACAGCAAAGTATTGCGATCTATACAACTTGCGTAAGCTTGTCATAATATGACGTTTCAAACTCTAAGGGGGAAAAAAGCAAACAACAACAGCAAACAAATAAATGTTGGCACGTAGGCAAACTCAGTAGGGATACAATCGATTCTGTTTGTTTAATAGCGCGCGAGTAAGTAAAAGCAAACTATTACACAATCACATCCAAATTCTTTTGTTTCGGTAAGTGTTTTACGGCACTTGCAACTCAATAAGGTAATATAAGTATAAGTGCCGAAGATTAGAGGTGTTACAGGAGAGTAATAAACATAAAAAAGAAAGAGGGGAGATAAAGACGATATGTTTAATAGGACAAAAGAAGCAAACCCCACCAGAGCACCCGCCAACCACCCACTCACCCACATTCTATTACAAATCTAAAAGCAAATTGCACAGGTAATTCACTTGGCAATAAGTGGCAGCTGTAAAATCTCACACCAAACAGAGGTAAAAGATTTTGTGAGGTTACTTATTTCAGCTCTGTTTCGATCTTTTTGTTTCCTCAGGGAAAGAGTACAATCGTGTGTGTG